TGAAGGATTATTTTGAGAATACTTATTATTCTCATTATCACAATGATGACGATTATAATTTCGTCTATTGCCACGTCCACATCCATTGATACCTTCATGGTAATAATTTTGTCTTCTTTCAGACTTATCACATATTGCTATCACATTCTCTTAAGGGAATGAGAATGAAGCAAATTCAATGGGACGGGTTTTCACTTCTTTGCCCACAATCATACATGTATTTGATCATGGCAAGGCATAGAAATTTTACCACTTCAGGTGGTTATAATTTCTTACAAACTCCATTAGAGTTATGATCAAACTTTGTTGTCTTTGCTTGTATATAAAATCAAATTATAGAATTTCAAGAATTTAAAAGAAAAAAATAAAGTAAAATACTTACCTTAAATCCAAAATTTAATCATGAAGGAAGTTTATGGAACAATTGATAAACATTATGCTCAATCCCAAAGCTTCTACTCAATTGGTTAGAGTTTCGTGCTGATAACATGTTATAAAACAATAAAAGAACAAGAGCAATATTGCAGAGAAAGAGAGAGAAAATTCTTATTGAATTTTGGGATGAATTACAATGGAATAGAGCCATCTTTATAGGAAAAGAGTGACTTGGCCACCAAGTAATAATCCCTAAATCTCTCTAAATATAGACATTCACCATAAATAGAATTCTATTTATAACAGTTATACATTTATTTATAAATATTAACAAAAGAATTTATTTCGTTGATACTTAATCTTTTTTCTAAAAATAACCCTTAAGTGAGACCATGAGTATTAAATAGTTGAACTCATGCTTGTTAATCATTAAACATTTTAGTATTATTGTCACGACCCCAAACCCGGTCGTGATGGCGCCCAACACAATTGCTAGGCAAGCCTGACCACAGTCGTTCCCAAATCAACCGTAAACCTCAAAACCGACAATCTAAAGAGAATATAATAGTCTTAGAATAATAATCCAATATTTAAGGAAGAATAATACTGAGAAAGATACGAAGTCTGATAAAACACTCCCAAAACATCTGGGGTCACGAGTCTAGAGCCTCTAAAACAATCTGAATAACAATATCTGAACGAAAATACTCAAGTCTGGAAATGTATATATATAAATAAAACTGAAATAGGAAGAGTAGTCAGGTCCTGCGAACGTCAAGCAGCTACCTCAACAACTCTGATAAGCTCTGGAAAATAAAGACTGCTCAGCTAAGCCTCCGGTGTACCTGAATCTGCACACAAGGTGCAGGGAGTAGGGGTGACTACTACCGACTCAGTGAGTAATAAGCATATAAAATGTCTGAAGATAAGAAATCCACGAAATGCCACAAAGTAAAGCTAAAACTAACAGTCCAACACCTAACTACGAACTAACAGCAGAACAACTTCAATATATCGGTCAAGTATAATGTAAAGATGCAATGCAATGCAATGCACATGACCGCTACGACGCGTAGCCCGATCCATTTAACGTCGACGACGCTCACTGGGGGTGTGTACAGACTCCGGAGGGGCTCCTTCAGCCCAAGCGCAATATAATCATACCATTCGCTGCGGCGTGCAGCCCGATCCATACTCAGTCCACAATATGCATATGAGTCACGTAACAGATTCAATTAATTTTCCAATTTCCAATTTATTAAGAAGAATATACTTTAGATATTTAACTTCAGGAATAGTGACTTAGCATTTTATAACAGCAATTAGACACATGACTGAGATCAATGATTATACAAAGCATGCTATCACAATGACATTCAACTTCTAAGGATGCTACAGATCGGCACAAGGCCCCAAACACGGCAATAAGCCCAGATATATTCAATACAGGGTGCGTATCAGTCGCCAATATAGAAACATTCTTGTTCGGGATGGACTAAGTCTCAATCCCCAGTCATAACCAATCCCGCACTTGCCATGGGGTGCGAGTCACGCCCTACAATAGCGTCACAATGTGATAAGCCGGGGTTTCAAACCCTCAGGCCATCATATACACCAACTACTCACCTCTATCCGGCCGTAGAATGGTCCGCAATGCCTTTTCCTTTCGTATCGAAATCCTCGCGCGTCGAATCTAGTCAAAATCACAACGAATACGTAAATATGGGTTAAAGAAACATAACCTGATCAAAAAGTACTAAAATTCACGAAGTTGGTAAAACCCGAGCCCCGGGCCTACTTCTCGAAAAATTCCGAAAATCACACCAACGGATTCCTCGTCTCGCCACGAGTCCGTGCATATAAAGTTTACCAAAAACGGAGCTCAAATGCCCTTTCAAAATCCGTTTTTACATCATAACTTTTCAAGCCCTAGCTTGACCCGTTTTTGATGAATTTTCTACAATTTACATGTAATTTCTACCATAGATTCGAATATTTAGGCCAAGGAACTTACCTCCAAGTGATTCTCAGTCAAAACCCTCGAATTTTCTTGTTCAAAGCTCTAATGAACGTCAACAATGGAGGAAGAATATGAAAGGGTCGCGGATGAAATATTATTTTAAAACCCTTCTGTCGTCCGATTTTCGCTTCTGCGGTCCCGTTTTCGCTTATGCGGGACCGCTTCTGCGGCCACATTTCCGCTTAAGCGGTTTTCACTTAGAAGCCTGGACTTCGCTTATGCGACGTGAAGTCCGCTTTTGCGATTCCTCCAAAGACCGCTTCTGCGGCACCTTGTCCGCTTATGCGGACCCGCTGGTGCGAGCTACCTTCCGCATCTGCAGAATTTCCCTAGCTGGCCACGACCGCTTCTACGACCACGTACCCGCTTCTGCGGTCCATTTCCGCAGAAGCGGAAACACCAGATGACAGATAAATCTGACCTGCAATTACACCTCAAAACTCTCGTTTAACCACCCGAATTCACCCCGAGGCCCTCGGGACCTCAACCAAATGCACAGATATGTTCTATTACTTCATTCAAACTTGCTCGTAACATAAAAACACTATCATAAACACCAAAATCATCGAATTACCACGGATTCAAGCCTAAGTTAAACTAAACTTCCGAAACTTGCATTTGATCTAAAACCCGACCTAAACACCTCCGAATGATCTGAAACTTTGCACACATATCCAAAATCACCTAACGGAGCTACTGCAACTCTCGGAATTCCATTCCGACCCTCGGATCAAAATGTCACCTACCATCCGGAATTCGCCAAAATCCAACCTTAGCCAATTCAAGCCTAATTCTACACCGGACCTCCAAATTCAATTCCGATTGCGCTCCTAAGTCACAAATCATCCCCCGAAACTAGTCGAATCATCGAAAATCCATTCCGAGCCTTCTAACTCATAAGTCAACATTCGGTTGACTTTTCCAAACTAACCTTCTCATAAAGAGACTTATTGTCTCATTTCTAACCGAACTCTATCCGAATTACTTCAAATTTTCCAAACACATAAAATGAAACATATAAAAGCATAAAATGGGGAAAACGGGACGGTAGCTCCCGTAACGACAGGTCGGGTCGTTACAATTATGTTGTCCCTAAGAGACGGACAATCAAGAGTTGATCAAGGTGGAAGTGAGTTGTGGCAGTGCGCTTCTAGGTAGACGATAAACTAAAAAGTTTCATGATAATGCACATAATGAGATAATGGAGGTTAGAGATTTGATCAAATGAATAATTGAAAGTGTGATTTTCTCCTTCGAAAGTAATGAATGTACACTTGAGAAGTAAACCAGGATAATTAATTTGGGATGAAGGGAATATATACTTATTTTATTCACCTAATTTACTACTAGTAGTAAAGATTGAAAAATCATACAAATAATATATCAAATTTAAAACCTCAATTTTTAAGAATTCTATAATTACAAAAATATTATTGTTTATTGACAGGAGGTTGTTGAGGTCGAGTATTATGGTAGAATGTTAGTAGGTAGTTGAATTTTTTTTTCGTACTAGTTATATGTAGCATAATTCTTGTACTTCCTTAATTATAGTTTGCATTTACTTCCTGTTATTTCTTTCGCTTTAGCTATTCTACTGTTCTGCTGTAACTATTTTTTTTCCGTTATTTCTTTAGCCGAAGATTTACCGAAAATAGTCTCTCTACCTTTACAAGATATGAGTAAGGTATATGCAGAGGCGGATCCAGAATTTTGGCAGGATGGGTGCACTATTAAGAAGGGGTGGACCCGAGATATAAATTGTACATGTCCAACCTTTAGTTCTTACTATTGCGCACCCGTTACACTTTTGAATTGTTGTTCAAAATTAAAATTTAAAAAAAATATTAATTTTCTTGCATCTATATCTATTATCCATGTTGAAAATATCGGGATCAGTTGAACCCATTGATTATATGTTACATCATACACTACTACTATTTTTAATATACATAATTTGTTTAATCATATGAAATTTTACGGTGACAAAAGAAGAATAGGAATTTTAATGTGTGAAAATTTTGAAATAATAAATCAAACAAAAAAAAAAGTACTTAATTAATACGCAAAAAGTGACACCAGACATGCTCATCTCTCGTGGGCATCTAGTTCTAGGGAAAAGAAAGAAAAAACAAATCTTGACCTTGCAACCTCACTTAGAGAGGCAGACCAAGTAACTATCACATCAAATAATACTTGAAGCATGGGTTCACACACATATATTTAAGTATTTTTGCAAAAATGTAATATTGCTATACATAATTTAGGGAGGGGAACATGGGTTCACGTGCCATGGAAACCCCCTAGATACGCCCCCTGGGTATATGTACACACCCCTACTCAGATTCTACTTTATAGGATTACACTATATTTATGTTGCTATTACTAAAATTACAAATTTTGAATTTTTCTTTTATAATGTCCAGTTAAATTACTTTACTGTAATATAAATTGAATCAAAGGGGTATTTATTTCTAAACTTACAATGGTCCAGTGTTCCACTAGAAAAAACGCCCATGGTATAGTTTGTGGGGCCGGAAAGCAATGTAAGTTTCATGTGCGACGATATATACGATAGACACGTGTCGATAATACATTAAATACGTATACGCATACATACAGCGCACAGAGCCGTGAGTAGGAAGCTGAGCATTTTTGAAAAGTGACAAAAAGAGAAACAAATAGATCGATCGAAAATGGCGGAATTGAGTGGACTGAAACTGGAGCAGAGGCATGGAAAATCCAGAGTGAGAGTAGCCAGGGTTTGGAAAAGTCACGATGGGAAGCATCACTTTGCTGAATGGAGTGTTAACATTAGCCTCCTCTCCGATTGTTTACCTGCCTATGTCGCCGGTGATAATTCCGATATCGTCGCCACCGATACCATGAAGAACACTGTAAGTCTCCTTTTTTTTGTTTGAGTAACAGCTGATTTATATGCATGTACGTAGAATTTTGTTAGATCATGTATACCTGATGCTCAATTTCATCATCTGCGAACTTAAATAGTACTACTGATTATTTTTCGTGTTAATAACTTGATGTAAAATTGACGAGTTTTGCTATTTGTAATAGTTTTCTAAGAGATCTGATCTATGAACGAGACATTGGATTGATATAATTGTTTAAGCTAATTGTCTGATTACGAGTTTTTGTCACTTTTCTTCTCTGCATTAGGTCAAAATCAGCTTTAAAAGTCTTCGAAATTCAGCTTTTACTTTTTGGAAACTAAATCTGATTATATTGTGTTGTTATATCCTATAATCTGAATTTTCCTTTATGTCATTTGGTTCTAAGTTCCGATTATTGGACCGTGAAACAGGTGTATGCCAAAGCTAAGGAATGTTCAGAGCAACTCTCAGCTGAAGATTTTGCCATTATACTTGCAAAGCACTTCACCTCCTTTTATCAGCAGGTACCATTTGTCTATTGTCATGTAATGATGTCAGTTATCTGCCATGACTACTTGGTTATTCTAGCCACTGAATTTAGTAATTGTGGGAAGGGTACTATGTTTTGTAAAATTTTGCTATATGTGTAGAGAATGTTCAAAAAGACTTCTCATTTTTCTTACAGATCAATCTTATGTCATGTCCACTCATCTGGCAATTGCTCTGTAGAAGAGAATAAGCAATTGCATAGTTGTTGCCTTTTGTTGTATGCAGACTTTGGGATGTTTTGTGCTTTGCTTGTGACATTGTTTAATATAATTATAGGACTGAACCACTCACCTTACATAGAACTTCTTAAGCTATTTTTCCTGTTCTGTCTTGTAGGTCACTGCTGCAATTGTCAATATAGTTGAAAAGCCATGGGAACGCGTTAGCATAAAGGGCCAACAACATGAACACGGTAAACCTTTGATTTGGAACGGAAAGTGTTACTTACTTGCCCAGTGAACTCCCCCCCTCCCCCTCCCCCTTTTAGAAGTTAAAATGAAGATCTAAGTTACCCTGTGCTGCTAATTCTCAGAAATTGTAGGGAGTATTCCTCTGGATTCCTTCTCTGCCGTGTGACTGGTTTCATCCTTTTCTTGACTGTGTTTCATCTCCTTAGAGTGCATGCAGAGTCATATTAATTTTCTTAAACAGCACAAGAGCAATTTGGAATTCCAGTCTGATTTGTGGCTTATGATAAGATATTTTGTTAGTGATGTCCACTATATATTTTTTTCATATGTTATCATCTCTATCAAAAAACTTGCCAGCGTCGAATACATCTGAGCTTCACTGAACTATATGATATCAAATTTGATAAGACTAGATCAAGTTCAAAGTCAAGTCTGAGACAATCTTGTATCCAAATAAGGAGCCTGATCTAACAACAACGACAACAACAACAACAACCCAGTATAATCTCACAAGTGGTGCCTGAGGAGGGTAGTGTGTACGCAGACTTTACCCCTACCCTGGGGTAGAGAGGCTGTTCCCGATAGACCCTCGGCACAAGAAGATGAATGCGACAATAGAATTCAGAAAGATAGTACCAGCGAGCTAAGAATCAAAAAATATACCTGGAAAAGCAATATGAATAATCACTGCAGTGACAAGGTCCTAGAAAATAGTACGAGCACAACATGTACCACTAGCATACTAAAACACGACACAGACCGACTAGACTTACACACAGAACGGAGTAGAAAATGCTCAACTACCTACTAACCTTCAACCCTAATGCTCTCCTTCCATACCTTCCTATCAAGGGCCATATCCTCGGTCTCGGTGAGCTGGAGTCGCGCCGTGTTTTGTCTGATTACGTCTCCCCAATGAGCCTGATCTAACATAGTCTAATATAGTCATCCTTGTTTGGCAGCATCATGAATTTTCCTAGATCAGTATTTGCTCTCCTTGGGTTCAAATTAGAATGTGCTCAATATGATGTTATTCCTTTCTAATTTGTCAGAAGTAGACTTCTTTCAGTTAATTTCTATCAAAAGAGAGTAAGGAAAAAATAATAAATGAACAGAATTGTCCTGCAATAATGAATTAACCATTTTGGGCAACTAATCTGACAAAATTAGCAGGTTCATATTGGACTGAGAATGGAGCTTATATGACCAATTTTTCTTTCGTGAAACGCTTCCAAGAGCTATTCCATGGTTGAAGCTACTTTCTTGAAAAAACCGTTCAAATTCCTTTAAGCTGATCATATCAATTTTTAGCTATAAAAGGCCTTAAAGTTGGTCCTGTATCATGTATTATGTGGAGCTATAATTTTCCCTGTACATAGTGCAAAAACCTGAGCTGCAGTTTGTGGACCCCTCACTTCTTGACTATATTGACTAGGAAAATGATTTAATCAAGGAGTTGATGATCACGCCCAACTCTAGTCCTAAAAAGGATAAGCGGTCGCTGCAAATATAATCCGGTCTAAAAGTCCGGAGTCGAATCCCACAGAGAACTAAGGCTTAGCTGTATCTGTTTAATATCACAGAGAAGACAAGATTGAAAATAAATAGAAAGCTGAAAACTAACTATGCTTGAATTGTAAACAATTAGAATAAAGGTCTAAGGTAATGGTTTCCCCCGTTGTTGATTTCCTTGGTTGTATGTTTCTTATAGCGTTGACTTAGTTGCCTCTATCAATCATGAACTCTCTAGCTATCATAAATCTCTCTCAAGCAATTATGATAATTTACTAGACGCACTCTCTCAAGCTATGCTAGCTAGATTCGCATTACAGTTCACTTAGATCGCACCCGAGGTATCGTTATCTCTAATCCAACCTCTAAACACTCGGTTATGACTCTCGCTTATACTCCGGGAGTGATGTTGTTCCAACAACTACCTAAATATGCACTCTCTCTCAAGCAGATACATAATAAATAGGAACGGCTAATTGAGGATCCTTTCAATTAACCACAATCAAAACATAGTTGAACAAATAGAGATTAAACTAATTCAAATCTATATTACTTATAACAACCAATTCATCCCCAACGGGTTTCACCAAAACCTTAGATTAGAAAAGTTAGCTACTCATGAAAATAACAAAAATCACAAAAGAATTCATATTCAAAGGTAAAAGAACAAAGAAGAAGATTAAAGATTGATGCCCAATGATCCTCCTTGCCTCTTGCCCTTCCTTCTGATGTTTTTCACTTCCAAAAATCATTCTCTCCTTTCTTGGCCGGCATCCTTCGTTTAATATAGGGTTTAGGGCTTAAAATCCCGTGTTTTGCACTTTAGTCCCTGAAATTTACGCGTCCTGTCGCTGTCCTACCGCGGTTACGCCAGGACCGCGGCCAGAGTGGCCTTCAGAATCTGCAGCAGTGTTCTGCCGCGTCAGGTCCGCAGTCGCAGTTTCAATCGCGTTTTTGACCCTGTTCTGTTTGGAATTTGGAAAAACGTAAAACATGAAAGTTGTAGCCCTTTGAGTTAGCTTTCCAACCATATATTGTGGAGCCCAAATGGAGTTCTGAGCAAAAAGTTATGTGCATTTTACTAGACAGTGCGCAATATGCCTACTCGAGTCTTCGTTTTGTTGTTTTATCATCCGTTGATCCCCGAATACGATCCTGGCTTAATTCCTTGGGCTTTTACTTAGACTTCAAAGCTCCAAATCACTTGAATTCATTCCATAACATCTATATATCTCGGAATCACTCCTACAAGGCATAAAACACACCGTTAGTGCAAAACACTAGCGACTAAAGCGCAAACTCAATTAAAGTGCAGTAAATTAGAGTGTAATAAGCGACTAAAATACGTAATTAGTTGACTTTTCACTGGATGAGATACCTTGAAAAGGGATTTGGAGCCTAAAAAGGGGCCTCATTGTATGAAGCAGTCATTGGTAATCCACTTTTAATGTGTCTAGAAGATTCTAGTGGATTGTATGGGTAAGCATCTAGCTTGGGATGCCTTAAGCCATGATGTCACTTTTGTTTGATAATCTCTCGTTGCATCTCCTAGCTTTGTTTCCATTTATACGATCTGATTTCTATCTGATGAAGTGAACCACTGAGATTAATCAAAAAAAATTGTTTTCCCTACGATTAATTCTGCTGCTCTATGTTTCTATCTTCCTTAGGTTTTAAGCTTGGCTCTGAAAAACACACTACCGAAGTAATGGTCGATAAATCGGGAACATTGCGCATGACATCTGGTATCGAGGGATTATCAGTTCTAAAGACAACTAAGGTAATCTCAGTTACACATCTGCCTTTATTTCTCCTTGCTTATCTGCTTCTACATACCTCAAAAAAGAAGAAATAATAGGATTCTGCAGTTAACTAAAGATTTTTACAGTAGTCCTACTAAGATACACAACCCTCCTCTAAGAAAGAAAGAGATATGTTAGTTTCCCTGGGAATAGTTTCTTACTTTGGTTTTTCTTTTTGACTCTCCCCACCTCGCGGTGGTAGTGAAGTTGAGGGGCTATGGATCAGGGCCAAGGCAACAAGGGTAGTACTATCATAAATGATGACGAAATAGCCGATTTACAGTTTGAGGTGGTTTACATGTGCGTCAGACGAGATCTATTTGGCCCTGTATAAGTCCTTACTCTTTCTTACTCTAAAATTAGAGCCTTAGCACCTACTATACTTCTTCCTATGGGAATTAGGAACAAATTCTTTCTCTTTACACGAGATTAAGAGTTTGAAGTACACCTAAATTGGTACGCCACCCTAAACAATTGGCTTCCAAAATTTCATTCATGATAAGTGCATTATCGATTTTCATAACAAATAGGTCATTGAAACAGTCAGGTTTTGAAGGATTCATTAGGGACAAGTACACTATGTTGCCTGAAACACGGGAAAGAATGATGGCTACAGAGGTCACTGCATCTTGGAGGTAAATTATCCATCTTTTTGTTTTTTTAAAGAGATGACGTGTTAAACTTTTCTCTTTCTGACATGAATGAGATTTTAGTCTTGCCCTTGTTAGTTGTTCATCGTTGTACCATGTTTCATTTATGCTCATTGTTGATCGTGTTGTGAACCTGAAATTGGTTCATGTAGGTACTCTTTTGAATCTCTCTCAAGTCTTCCCTTGAAGCCTCTGTATTTCACAGAGAGATACATGGATGTGAAGGAGGTCTTGCTTAACACATTCTTCGGCCCATCTAAGGGAGGAGTATACAGCCCTTCTGTTCAAGCCACACTTTATGAAATGGCAAAGGCTGTTCTTGGAAGGTCTTTCTCTCGAATTCAACTCATAAGATGCTTTCCTAGCAGGCTAGCACACATACAAGAGAAATGAAACCTCTAAGATGCTCTATTTGCTTCTTCAAGTTTCATAATTGCTATGTGTCCTTATGTTTGTTTTGGCATTATTCCTTCAGGTTTCCGGACATTTCATTCATTCAGTTGAAGATGCCAAATCTGCATTTTCTGCCAGTCAATTTGTCAAGCAAAGATAATCCAGTTATTGTTAAAGTAAGTTTCTCTCCCCTCATTCGCTGGATTGCTGTGTGCTAAAATGCAGTGAATTTGACTGCCAAGTTATTTTCGAACCCTGTAAGGTGAAATTTATCTGGCAAGACCTTGTTCAAAACTGAACCGATTACCATGAGAAAAGATGGGTCAATTATTTAAACCTCCTCTCTAGCTTACCAAAACCAAATAAAACTTAGTTTGGGAAATACTTTAAGCTTCCCCTCCGTAGCAACAGAAGCAGACATTGTCAAGTTTGAGAATAATTCGACCAAAATGGCGTCATTCACGTGTGTTGATTCTTTAAGCAGTTTTGAATGATATATACAGCCTACATATAAATCTAAAAGGAAAGTACATTTGCCAAAGGGAAGAAAAGAAAGACAAGAAGACCAATGGAGAAACTGAGTTGTTTTAGGAGAGGGCAAGACGGACTGGGTTAGAAGGGGGACGGAAGGGACTAAGAGCCAAGGGAAGGCAAAGCTGATGGGGAAAATGAGTAGAGGAGTTATGGCTGGGCTCGGAAAGGGGAACGATCATGGTAAGAGAAATGGTGGAGCTGGGATAGAAGATTCTGAGTGATAAGATCCAATTTTTATTCATCTTAAACAGAAATTCAAAGTAGATATTGGAACAACATCAAAGTTGATGCTTAATAGATGCACAAAAGCTAGAGTAGCCTACACTGGCTAAGAAGAAACTTCAACAACACGTGGATGTTCTCTTTACCTGCTTCGGATAAATGCTGCTGTAACTTTTCGAAGCATTGAAACATGTCATTACTGGAGGGGCGGCCTGCACGGATTTGCCTAGGCAAAAGGAAGAGAGGGTGGTTTGCCAATATTGTCAAAGGGATGGGGCCGGGGGTGGGGGATTAACGGCTATAGGGTAACATGTGATTCCCACACGTCCCTCATCTGAATATTAGTAATCCACATTCTCAATTTAATAAAAACTTACCGCATCATGCAAAATCGCGGCGAAACAGTATCAACATGTATTATAGAGTTTGAAAGAGGAGAAGCTAAAGCGGTGGGTACAGTTTGATCCCACGTAAATGATTCTCGAGTTACATATCTTTAATCATGTATTATCCAGTTGATTCAAAATTTCAAGTTTTATTGCTGCACTGCATTCATTCAGTCATAAAGTTATGCCACTATAAGTTGATCTTCTTGGGAACTATATACCTCTGATCATGTTCTTTTGAGCTTGAATCAATGGCTAATATATAATCCGTTAATGACCTTTCAGTTTGATAATGATGTTTATTTGCCGACGGATGAACCGCATGGAACCATTCAGGCGACTCTTAATCGTATTCGGTCAAAGATGTGAAATACTGCTGATCAAAAGTGCCCATGATGCTCATTTCTTACATTTAAGTTGTTACACCTCAAAGCAACTAAAGGGAACCTGGAAAGAAGCAACAATGTTACATGGTTCTGATTCTTCTAATCTGCTGTACACATGTAAAATATGGGTGTGTAATTTTCTGAATCTTCGTGTAAAATAAATAAGTGATAATTGTTTCTCAAGTTGTTGGACGTCATGATTTATCCTTATGATGTAATTGGTAATTTGGCTAAAAGAAAAGCCTCCCCACCTGGATATAGATAACTATTTAATATAATTCGACCTCTTGTTTAAGTTGTGTTGGTCATGCACTTAATTATGATTATGTAACATTACTTTGCTCTAAAAAGATGGTACCGGGGGAGAAGTATTTTATACTTAAACGATTCAGCGTATTAAGGTTATTTACCAAAATGATTTAAATTGTGTCGATGCAATGTTTTATTATGATTTTTAATTCTTTTTTCACCTTAAGTACTTTACAAGGTAAGGAATTAAACCTTTACCGATAAGGTGAAAATTTTGGTAGTCAACCAATTGAGCTACTAAGATTCTTGTATTTATTTTTTATTTTTTATTTTTTTTATATTACATACCAACTAATCTACTAAGATTTCTCCTTTTTTTTTCTTTTCTAATTTTCTTTTGTTACATTGGGCATATGGGAAGGGGAAATTAGGAGGGAATTATGAGGTGGGAAATTAGAAAACAATAAATAGAAGGTTTAATTTATTAAGTTATTTCTATTAAATGCTTTTTGAAAATTGAGCAATATTAAAAAGAATTTACTATTTAGTAGTATAGTTGAAAATAATTAATAAATTTAGTCTTAAATTTCTAAAGCGATAATATTTTTGAGCTAAAGCAACAATTAAAGTGGGATGGGGAAGTATTTTTTAATCATATAACATGGAAAGTCAAATGATTTTCACCAGAAGCGAATATGACAACTAATTTTAGATAGAGAGCTTAAAAAAAAATAGTGGCACTCACATATAATAAAAGTCAGCATTTTACGTGTCATCTGCGTCAGCGTGATTGAGAAACACATTCAGTCGAAAGTATTCATATTGGTCTGTCTGAATCTAGTCCTGGAACAAAGCAAAGAGAGGAGAGAAACAAAGAACTCTTTAAATTCTTCATCTACCTTGTCGGTTTTATATTTTACAATATAAAAGAGGAATGGAGAATTGAGAATAATTTCTCCTTTTACTCTTCCTTTCCCTTCCTCCAAGCTAGCATTAAAAAATTAAAAAGAATTCTGTTTGGCATTAATTCTTCTTCAAAGTAACAAGAAGAAAGCCAGGAATCTTCCTCTTCAATTTCTTGTTCTACAACTCGGGTTTTAGACTTTGTGCATTTTTTGACCTTCTAGATACCTTTTTTTTTTTGTTTCCCCATTTTTATTTCACACCCAATTTTTTATTATACTATATAAGAGGGTATTTGATGTTCTGTTCTCCCTACAAAATTAAATTACAAATAATACAGTTTGGTTACTTCTTTGTTTTGTATTAAGGGAAATTGGGTCTGCTATTTCTTGATTTTATTTCCTAAAATTGTGATTTTACTTTGGAAATTGGATATGAACATGGCTGAAGGGGGAGAAAAGACAAATGTGGTAGTGATTGGAGGTGGAATTGGTGGCTCCCTTGTTGCTAAAACCCTTCAAAATGAAGCTAATGTTTCATTAATTGATGAGTAAGCATTTCTATCACTCTTTACTGATTTTTCATAGCTTGTAAATCAATGTGAATTTTCAAAGGTGTTAGCTTTGTTAGTAGTTTAGTGGTTGATTCCTCGTAGGAGATCACGGGTTCGAACCATGGAAACAACCTCTTGCAGAAATGCAGGGTAAGACTGCGTACAATAGACGCTGCGTACAATACACCCCTGTGGTGCGGCCCTTTCATAGAACCCCGCACATAGCGGGAGCTTAGTGCACCGGGCTGCCCTTTAGTGGTTTAGTGGTTGATTCCTTCAAAATTCTTGCTTTTATCATGACTGCTGATTTGAGTTTTTTTTTTCTTATTAATTGATTGTGTTTAGATTAACTGAATGCATGAAATGTGAACAGGAAAGAGTATTTTGAGATCACATGGGCAAGCTTAAGGTCTATGGTTGAACCTTCCTTTGCTAAAAGATCAGTCATTTCTCACTCTGAATACCTTCCTCACGCGAAAATCGTTGCATCAGCTGCAGTTGACATCACAGACACTGATGTATTGACAACACAAGGCAGCCGAATTCGGTATGACTATCTTGTTGTTGCCACTGGTCATACACAAAGGGGTGCTTCGACGAAAACTGAGAAGATCAGTCAATACCAAGCAGGTATTGGTTCAATCTCATTCAATGTGATTACTTTTTGTGTTTTCTTTCATAGAACTCAAAAGTTTCTGTGTAACTAGTTTTATCTTAAGACACTAACCTTATAAGGAATTCGAGGGTTTTCTGTTAGGTTATTGAAGACTCAAATGGTGATGTATTGCCATCACTTTACCAACAACTTGTATTACTTAACAATATCATAGTTTTGAATGTGCGCACTTCCCTTCTTTTAGATTGACATTTTACCATGTCCATTTTATCTTCAACAAGTTATTAGCAGATTCGCATAACTTCAAAAACTATATAATAGTAGAGAACTTGAGAAGGGGGCTAAGGTTTATGGAAGAGAAAGCAACAACGAGAAAAGTGAATCAGAATTTTTGTTTTTCTGTTTGGGAGCCTACAGAAGCTGGCTGGATGTTAGTTGTAGATAACCATATATTATTTCTTGTATACCAATTGTATGCTTGACTTAAATCCACAACACTAAAGTATTACCTTATCAAGAAAAAAGAAGAGAATGATAGTGCTCCGGAAAGCAGGATGACTACTTACTTATGAACGGCTGAATTATCGTGGAAGAGTTGAGTAATACATATCAAGCTTTCCAATGTTCATAAGACGAGGCTGAAATTATGTTTCATTACATATATAACTTGTGCGTAACTCTTCTTTCTTGGTTTACAGAGTATGAAAAGATAAAGGCTGGTGATTCCATATTAATAGTCGGAGGAGGGCCAACTGGTGTGGAGCTCGCTGCTGAAATTGCTGCTGATTTTCCTGCTAAGAAGGTGACTCTGGTGCACAGGGGATCAAGATTGTTAGAATTTATTGGAGAAAGCGCCAGCAAAAAGGCACTGAATTGGCTTACTTCAAAGAAAGTTGAAGTCATCTTGGGGCAATCTGTCGATGTAAACTCTGCATCAGATGGTGTTTACAAAACATCGGGTGGAGAAACCATAGTTGCTGATTGCCATTTTATTTGCATCGGAACACCATTTGGTTCAGCATGGCTAAGAGAAACTATCTTGAAGGATAGTTTGGACAGTCGTGGAAGGCTAATGGTTGATTCAAATTTGAGGATCAAGGGTCACAACAATATCTTTGCTATTGGGGACATCACCGACATTCCGGTAAGTCGATCAAACCTTCTTTAATAACCTTGATTTCATCCCAGTAAAGCTTTAGATGTTAGCGCCCCTCTCCCATCATAAATATGAAAACGTATAATTCAACAACTATTCAAGAACTTCTGTCTATGCATCCTCTGATTCCCCTTCTTCATAGTCATAGCCCTGGCCTGGCACTAAAACTTCAACGATTTACTTTTTCTGAGATTGTAGCAGTAATAAATGATGAATTACTACTAAGCTCTTTCTATGCTGAATCTCCATTTTCCCTTATTTTAGAAAAAAAGAAAAAGAAAAAGAGTGCTGTATGTCTCCGTTTGTCATCATAACATGACTTACCTATATTTGTATATGGTGTTTATAGAGCTAACAAGATGTCAAATCTATTATGGTACCTGCTAATGCTACTTAAGTACTTGAATCGCAACTTTAGGAAACATGATGGAAATATCGCTATCTCCAATGCATTTCAGTATTAACTTTAACTGCTTGCTAATATAGCTTCAGCTATTTGTTCATTGTTACTTTTCCTTCCTCTCCTTGTATAGAAAAGCCCATGCTAGTTACTAGACTTGGCTAATATGCACATATGCAACTGGATAACTATTAGACCAATAAAAGCCAGATCGTATTAGCTCTTATGCCATAAGATGTATTTTATCTGCAAGACATCCTTACATTGCGATGGTGAAATTCAGGAACTTAAACAAGGATATTTGGCTCAAGAACATGCAAAGATAGCTGCCAAGAACATCACATTGTCAATAAAAGGAGTAGAAGATGATCACAAATTGGCTGTGTATAAGCCAGCCACTAAGGCATTGGCTATAGTTTCTCTAGGGAGAAAAGAAGCAGTGGCCCAATTTCCTTGTTTGTCAATTGCTGGACGCGTTCCAGGTATGATAAAATCCGGGGATCTCTTTGTTGGAAAGACGCGGAAGGGACTTGGTCTACAGCCTGATGTTTAGGTGTCTCCTATATCTGGAAATATGTGTGCTTTAAAAGTTAAACGGTTTGATATTTGTTTGTTTGTCAAGTTAGATGGTTCTTTTAAGTTGTGTATTCAGTTAGATGGTTCTTCTAACTGTTCTTATCTCGTTTGATTTTGGTTATCTTATACAAGAGTGTTCTTTTATTTCAATCCTGGTGCTGCAACATATTTCCCTTAGCAGTAGCTTCAAAAATTTAAATGCTACACAAAAATTCAGTACTATTTTTGCATTTTCCGGGTTGGCAGTAGGGGTGTACATGGACCGGGTTGATTCGGTTTTTATCGAAATCAAACCAAACCAACTATATCGGTTTGGATTGGTTCGGTTTTATCGAGTTTTTTATTATTTAAATATTATTTCAATCTTACTTTGTTAAATTTTTTATACATAAATATATGTTTAAAAAGTTGAAAAATACATTATCTATTAAAATATTCTTATGGGAGAATTTTTTTAGTAACACATGATAGTTATTTTTTAGTCGTCTGACAATAATTTTTCGTTGACGTACACTTTCAAGGTTAACCGAATTTAGTAATTAAACATAAAAATCAATATGATACCTAAATAATAATAATCATTTCAAGTTCGAAAAAGATATAAAGAATTTGATAGATCTTGACATTTGAATATAAGAACAAAGAGATTGACGTATTTCAGTAACACTTGATAAGAAAGTGATCATACAATCCACTATTTAAAGTTAATAAATATGGAGCATTTTATATTCTATAAAATATTATTTTGCTGTAAGAGAATCCCAAATATTTCTAGATATTATTTTAAAAGAAAATTCTATATAAAAATCTTAAAAGTATATATTTATATGTCGGTTTGGTTT